AGGTGCAACTCATCATTGAACTGTCAGCTGTTCTCTCTGCCTTTTGTTTTCAAGGTGTCACTTGAGATTAGAGCTTAAACACTTGAGGAGATCTTTTGTCTCGAGACATTTGAAACATGTGGCATGCCGCTATTCACACAAACACTAAAGCAAGAAACAGACTTCATTTTTCTGACTTGGCTTTTAGCAGCTGTGTAGAGAGCAGCAAATTGTGCAAAGTGAAACACTGAACAGATGCACATGTGAATTCAAATGTTCGCAGTTAGGCACCTGCGGATTTGCATATGTGTAGTTTTATGCGAATTTCTTTTCAATATTTTTGTTTTTTATTCCCCCCTCCCTTTGTTTCATGGAAAATTGGAATTGAATGTTACCCAGCATTTTTTGCAGAATTGTTTTAATTAATTAAGTTTTTTCCCAATGTATTTTAATGGAAGGCCTTGGTCCCTTCCCCCGCGACTAGAGACCACTGCAGATATTATTTGAAATATTTTTATTGAAATGATTTTATTGGACATGGCTCGAACGCTCCGTGTCTTTGGTAGCGCACATTTGCGTGACAAAGGTTAAATTTTAGACAGATTTCTGTCATTGTTCCGGGTTGAAGTATCTCAAAGTTATTGCAGAAGTTGTGTAGCAAATTCAGAGTAATATTGTAGTCTAAGAAACGACTTTCAAATGACAGTATTTATTTGGAAGCAACTTGCTCAGCACTGGTAGTCACGCAATGAAACGTTCCACAATGTGACAACATACATTATTTGTGCAAGTTACATAACAACTTGTGACAAGCGCTGCTCAGCAAAATTTTTACTTTTCACCTTCCAGTCTTGAGATAATTGGCAGCTTCACCAAGACACACCAATGACAACAACACTTTTGAAATGGAATGTTCGGTGACACGAGACTATTTCCATGCATCTGTGACAAAGACGCATAATGACAGAGACTGAGCCAGTGTGTCTTGAACACAGCGAGAAGAGGAAACCAGGCAAACCACAACATCCAGGCTGAAGCGCAGAAGGTAAGAACGCCCAAACTCAATATTTCTGCAGATACATTTTCACATTTATATACTCGACCAAGGATCATCCAGAATCAAGAAGTGATTTACTGTGGACTGCTTCAATTTCACTGACCTCTCTGAGTTTTGCCATTTTTAAAAAGGATTGAGGAACATTCAAAATGCATCCACCTTTTTTTTCGACCAAAATTGAAATCTTCTCATCGGACTCCCATGAGAAGTGAGAAATGAATTGAGCAAAACAATAAACCACAGAGACTCAGCCACTAATACAAATTTCTCTGTTCAACAATTCAAGTTAATCACGATAATTTGACAATTTAATCAAGTATGGCACTTTATTAGCTTGTCGATAAAGTACTGGAAATTTGTGCATTATAATAACCATTACATTTTAAAACATAATTTGAGATTACCTTATTGTGGTGGAGGGTTTGTGTGTCCCAATGTCTCTAGGTCCTACAATCTAGGATATACATTTTCTGTAGCTTTATATCCCATCCAATTCCTTTTCAACAGTCAGTATAGGCAGGACTTTTTTTTTTCACGGTTGAGGCATTTTGTCCACAAAAGATTTGTTGCGGTTTTATTTTGAAGCGGAGTAATGAAGACAGTGAGGAAGGAAATGTTTCAGCGAAATAGTAAACTTTTTTTCTTCACTTCGGAAATGGTAAAAGTTGCCACAAATATCAGCAAGTACAGCTATATCAAAATTGTCCTTAAGTACAGTAACAAGTTATGAATACATCCATTTTCTGACCCGCTTATCCTCACGAGGGTCGCGGGGCTTGCTGGAGCCTATCCCAGCTGTCATCGGGCAGTAGGTGAGGTACACCCTGAACTGGTTGCCACCCAATCACAGGGCACACATAGACCAACAAACATCCACGCTCACACTCACACCGAGGGACATTTTTGAGTGTTTCATTCACCTGCCATGCATGTTTTCGGAATGTGGAAGTAAACCGGAGTACCCGGAGAAAATCCACGCAGGCACGGGGACAACATGTAAACTCCACACAGGAAGGCTGGAGCCGGAATTGAACCCTGCACCTATGCACTGTGAAGCCGACATGCTAAACCAGTCAACCACCGTGCCACCCGTAACAAATTATATGTACTATTATTTATATTTGTACTATACTGAAGAAAAAAATCCTTTTGATTTACTTAATTCAAACCATGTACATACATTACTGACACACGGTTAAAATGTATCAAACAAACATTCAGTAATATTTGATGATTTTTTTTCTATTAGGAAAAAAGGGGAAAATTACTTCAACTGATCACATTAGAACCATGCGCAACCCAAGATTAAGTACTTTTTTTTTTACCAGTGGATATTCCTGTATTACATGAATAGTCGGTCTAGATGTACTTTGCATTTGATTGGCGGCTAGGGTATAGCCCGCCTCTCACAATGTTCTGCTGGGATAGGCTCCAGCTCAGCCGTGACTCAAATGAGGGCAAGCACTCTAGAAAATGGATGGATGGATTGGGCAAACAAGATTCAATATCAATGGGCCACAAAAATATTTGAACTCCAATCATCACACTAAGTTGGGGGGTTTTGAGAGGAGACCCCCACTCCCCCGCTCCCAACAGATGATGGCTCCTCACCACTTTAATCCCGCTCTGGCAACCTGGTGATCTTTCATTTTGGAATTCACGATAACAATGTGTAACAATTGTGCCTAAAGTGAGTGTTCAAATTAATACTTTTTGTTTACATCAGCTGCCTGTGAGCGAGTGAGTGAGTGGACCTCCAAAATGTTGTACCTGGCAGTGCTTGGCACTCTCGGTAAGATGGTGACGCAACTTATACATGACCGTGCCGACTCTCTGTATTTATTATTTGTCAATATGTCTAAATACTGTGCTGTGTTGTATGTTACACATACAGCACATTTGACAATAAAGTTGTACTTGACTTGACTTAACCTCACAAGATCAGAAGGCCTTGTCTCTCCGAATCCTGCAACTGTCTAAAAACAATCTGAAGTGTTCATTGTTGAATTGCTGCTTGTCATGCTTATAATTTTTTTTCTCTGTTTGTATAAATATATCGAAGTATGTTTGTGCTTGTCTGCTCAAAAACAAATCAATCAATCAATTAATCAATCAATAATAAAAAAGTGTTCCTGTGTTCAGTTGCAGCTACACTGAGCCAGACTTTCACCAGCTCCGGCGAGATAAACATCACCTTGTGTCCCATCACATACTACGGACACAAATATGAAAAAGTATATGTAAGTAACACAAAGTTACTCAAGTCAATTATTATTGTTAAAAAAACAAAGCATGAAAATCTACTAAAATTAATGAAAAATAAGGAATTTTCAATTATTTTTATGCAGCCTGTTTATGCTTCAAAATAAAGAAATGTTCCCATTGTGGTAAAGTTTTGGCCATTATTAAATGATATGTCAGAAATTTAACTTAACCAAACAGCTTCAAATTGGTGTGAATGGTAGACTGACTCAGAAGATGAATAGGTTTTCTGATAGCCACGGCGAGCCTTCAGCATTTGCTAAGCTAAGGCAGCACTAACTATTGTTTCTTGAAAGTTTATGCCAGCCTTTTTCTCATTTTTTCCTCATTTTCATCCTGCAATGTCAGGTGGCATTCAACAATAGCAAATTTGCACTCTGCTTCACTGACACACATAAAGTTGCCGACCAAAATGACTGCATACTTGTATCGGGAGGAACGGCGGACAATGGCAACTGGTCTGTACTCACACAAGAAATCCCCACCGGATCCGGCATCCATCAAATGTTACCAAGCCTGAAGCATCGGGGGCAATGTGTCAATGTTATACCTTTGAAAGACAGTCACCATTCCAAGGTGAGTCTTTTTTTTTTTTTTAAAGTTTACCTCACAAAACTGACATTATTAGATTATTATTATTAGTGTTTTATTATTGTTATATGATTCTCTTTTTGGGTGGCACGGTGGGTGGTTAACTGGTTAGCACGTCCGCCTCACACTGTAGAGGGGCTGGGTTCGATTCCGGCCTTCCTGTGTGGAGTTTGCATGTTCTGCCCGGGCCTGCGTGGGTTTTCTCCGGGTACTCCAGTTTTCTCCCACATTCCAAAAACATGCATGGGAGGTTAATGGAACACTCTAAATTGTCCGTAGGTGTGAGTATGAGCGTGAATGGTTGTTTGTCGATGTGTGCCCTGCAATTGGCTGGCAACCAGTTCAGCGTGTCCCCTGCCTACTGCCCGAAGACAGCTGGGATAGGCTCCAGCGCATCAGCGACACTCGTGAGGATAAGCGGATCAGAAAATGGATGGGTGTTTGGATTATCTTTTTCATGTGTGATCAATTTTCATTGACCGTGTACAGATTCAACAAGTAGAACTGGGAAACTTTGGAAAACAAGCGATTTTGGCCATCAAGACATTTTCCGGGTACACAAATGTTGATCTTGTAAGTATTCACTGCCTAAATCAACAAAATCATTATGTTATGACCTTATTCGATGCAGGAAGTCAGCTTCATCAGGGGTTGTGAGGGGGTAGGTGGTTTGGGTGCAAAAACATAAAGAAACTGCCAACAGTAGCTATGTTTTTAAAAAACGAAAAAAAAAGGTCAAAAGTGTATATCATTTACTTCCAATGGTGACAGAGGACAAAATCAGTAACTGGAGGGATTATGATGGAAATTTTTCCAAATTTGAATTTTGGTGGTCTGATCCAGAAGGTGCTAAGGTCCTGAGGCCATTCAAACTCGGGCGTCAAATTGAGAAAATACACTCAGGATTCTTGACCCACAGATGAAATAGAGTAGGGGAGGTTTCACATTATTTGAAGAAAGGCTCACTGTCCCGCTTTTTGGAAACATGTTTTGCGTCAGTCTTTGTTATCATTAAAACCTGATATAGTCTGCCTCATCGTCACAGGTGGCGGATATACAGGTAAATGGCCAAACTGTTTCCAAATACGTATTTCCAACCAATGAAACAAGCATGGGCATCATCAGGGACATGAGTGGATGCAGAATGGCAGGTAAACTAATGAAACGAGTCCACCGTCCAATACAGTAAAACTCCCTCACATGGACCCACCCTCCCAAATTCCAGGTTTTGTTTACATGACTAATACCACCGTAAGCGACCCATACCTTTGCTCTACGGTGACTTGCGATGTGAACGGAGTTGCTACCGCGGTCAGAGAATGTCCCCCCATGCACCATTGCCAAGGGAACGGCAGGTAAACCAGCTGTTTATATTTATGTTGATGGTTGTGTTTATCAGTCTAAGCACCCGTATCCACTCCACCAGTTGTACCTTCAACACCATGTGCACCCTGACTGGCTCCACCGTCATCGATTTCACTGGCCGCGTTCACACCATCCCTGACCGCTGTGGATACAATCTCATGACTTCAGATAATATCCCAAACGTCCGGATCCATGGAGTTTTCTGGGAACGACGACGTAAAGATGTCAGCTTCTTGGACCACGTGATCCTGCATCTGGACAGCCAAGATGTTCAAATCAGGCTTTTGCAAGGTGGCAGAGTCAAAGTAAGTGGACATCAAGGATTCAGAAATGTGATGATCCATAATATACCATGTTCAATTCAAATCAGAAGTAATTATGCGGCTTTTAATTTCGAGTTGTACCATTGATGTTTTGAGTTGTTTTATTAGGGTTACATCATGGTTAAGGTTACATTAAGAATGTAAATGACAATCAATCATCACACAACAGTGTGGATAATGGATAATGATGGCTTCCTTAACTACAATGTGTGCTCTTCTAACGGTTTAAAGATCAACGGTGGTCTGCAGGAAGTCCACGCAACAGCAAAGGTTGTACACAACGTGGAACTCTCCAAAAGCCAAAGCGGAGTGACTGCCAAAATATTTGACTCCAACTATACACTTTCTGTCTTCTTTGATGGCAACACAGCACAGATCCACCTCATGGGTATGGACCGAAAAAAAAAAGATTAAGATCTTCGTGTCTATCAGTTATGACCATTGGATGTTGATACTGATCAATTCAGTTATACAAAAAAAAATACTTAACAGTCCAACAGACAGGACTTTCTTGTTGAAGCCAGATAACAATATGGGAAATAATTTTGAAAAAACAGTTAGATTCTTATGCTGATTACAACAAAAATTGGCATTCTGATTCCAAAATTCCAGTTAGTTTGTTTCCAGCACGTCAAGTTTTTTTCTCCACAACTTACCCTCCAGAAAAGCAAATTCTACTGATTAGCTGTACTGTCGTAAGAAGAGATGATCTGGCTCGTTCATGTATGGTCCAACTTATATCTTGCCAACAACCTCCTCTTCCTCCAACTTTCAAACACCTGGAGCCCCTCAGATAAGTGTGAAACGTCGCTTTCCAAATTGATTTCCGGCGGGCTCTGTCCACCTTCCAGAGTGAGTCAGGGATGGTGTGAACGCGGCCAGTGAAATCGACGCATTTGTCGTCTGAGAGTGACGTCACACTTCCGGGTTTGGCGCTCGTCTGGATCTCACTTTGGGAAAACGATTACTTTGTCAAATTTACAAAATAGAAATGCATGCTTTATTTAATGTATTTCGTTTAATTACTTGTGACATACAAATATTTCGTTTGGGATTTTCTAAAATTACTTGACAGTTGACCTCTAAAATGTACCTTCCCCAAAGGATGCTGTTTGAAAGATGGCGTCCTGTGCTAAATAAATAAAGGTATCAGTCCGCCGCACCAAACTAATGTTGTAACCTCCAATATTGACAGGCAAAAATGGAGCTGTTGTGGATGGACTGTGTGGCAATTCCTCTTTGGATTTTAACCATGAGAGAGTTGCTGAACACAGCGTCGCAGGGTACGTCCACAACCACCCAAGCTGCCACTGCACGATTTAACTGAATGGATTGTTTGCTCAATAGCTGGTGTTAAATACCCATACAGGTGTGAGGAGCGATACGAAGAAGCTGATGATCTTACGATCAACTGCAAAGCTACAACTGAATGGTGAACCAGATGTTTCGAACTTTCGAAGTACACTTGGACAAACCATTTAGTTTACGTTGGAACAGTATCTCCCATGTCTTCTTTCTCAACACACGACAGGTGTCATCTCATGTGGCAAGATCCCTTCACCCAGTGCCATGTGCACATCAACCCAGAGCCCTTTGTATCAGCCTGTGTCAATAATTTGTCCCGGTATCCTGCATTGGACGGTCTCAAGTGCGACTTAATGGAAGCTTATGTCCGAGCCTGCCATGACCAAAGCAATGTCAGCATTGATGGCTGGAGGTCAATGGCTAAATGTGGTAAGGACATGTTTTCTCATAACATGAGATCGAGGTCCGTACAGAATTCTTGCTAGCCAAATACTGGTTAGATCGACTTCGTACTTGGGGATTATTGCTCTATTTTTGTAATCAATTTGGGAATAGCTTCATTTTCAAATGATGTGGAGATGATTCTGAATTATGGTTTCATGACAAAACTATTGATTTTTCATGATACTCTTTCCAGAGGCTGGTCCTCAAGCCCTCTGCCAAGACAAATACTGCAGCAAACACGAGTTCTGCGGCGAAGGCTATGATGGCGAAACCCACTGTCTATGCCGCGCCATTTTCGCCTCCAACTACAGATCCATGGACACGTTTGGTATGTCGACAACACCACCTGACAATTGCTTTGTCTTTTTTTTTTTTTGCTGAGTGATTCTTGTCAAATCTGTGTTCAGGTGAGCCAATGGTTTGCAGCCATTCATCTGCATCGATGGACATGTTCTGTTGCCTTCTAGCGGAGAAAGGTATCGACTACACAAAGCTTCACTTGAATGATGAACGATGCAAAGGTGTCATAGACAATGAAACCCACATGGTGAAATTCAACTTCTCTCGGGACACCACTTGCGGTGCAGTCATCAAGGTGTGTACTCCTGTAAAAAACAGACACTTTTCCTTTCACCACTGTTTCATTGGTTGTATCTATACTGCCATAGGTAGTAATATAATCGATGCATACTATATTTGATCCTGTAGGCAAACAACACCAAAATAAGCTACCAAAACATCATTGCGACTCCTAACATCTCCACTGTGGTGACCCGTTCCAACAAATTGCTCATGGATTTCTCCTGCCATTTTGACCAACCAGACCTCGAGGGTATGGCCATCAGAATGATAGATAGGTGAGTGGCCGGTGTGCCGCTGCAGCTATATTACCTAAAATGAGTTACAGTGTATGAGATACGTCAAACAGCAACTCTATTTTTGTTGTTTTTTTGCTTTGCAGCCCCGTGATTAAACACTTCACGTCAGGAGAGTGGAATTACACTTTGACCATGGCGGCATACACCGACCCTGACAGAACACGACTCGTAGAGTTAAGCTCTGGGATCCGGCTGAATCAGAAGATCTGGGTCGAGATCAAGGCATACGGACTGGGTGGAAGTGCAATTTCTCTGGTGACGGAGTCCTGCTGGGCTACTAATCAGTCGGCTTCAAACGGAAGCCTTCGGTATGACCTCATCATTGCAGGGTGAGTCTCGCTCCGAATGTCAACAAAGATGTCGTCACTGGTTGCGCTCGTCATGTCTGCAATGCTTGTTTCCGAGCAGATGTCCCAACCCTGCAGATGAAACGATTCAGATTGAAGGCAATGGAGAAGGAACATCTAATTACTTCTCTTTCAACGCATTCAAATTCTTGGACAACAACAATGAAATGTTTCTGCACTGCAGAGTAGAGCTGTGCGTCCAACAGGGAGACTCTTGCATTCGGGTAACTTGAGTTTGTACCACTGGCTGTTCCAAACAGGTTTACTTGGGGAGCAGAGCAGGTGGCAGGTTCACTTGGAAAAGAGGTTCTAATCCCTCCCCACATGCAAACAAAGCACATGTACACACTCACACACACACATATGCAAACACACACATGCATGCAGACATTTCTAATTCAGGTTTCATTTATTTTGTATTCCCTGGCAACTTTTATGCATGTCACGTGAATAATGTTAAGCACGAGACCAGTCTATGTATGCTATAATAACAATAGTGAACTCAGCCTGCCACAAATGATTCTTTTGCTAGCCAACTAGTCACCGATAATAGTTGCAATTAGTAACATTTAAATTGCAGCATATTGCTCCAGCAAGCAGCTGCTATTATATCATTATTTTTAATTTACAGCCCAGATTTTTAAAGCTATGTACAAATTAAAAACAAAGACAATTAAGATTATAGGCATGTCATGTAGACAATACAAGGAACAATTCCAATAAAATGTTGTACAGGTATTTAGTTTTGATAGATTCACTGTGAGTGGTAGGGGTGGCTATTGGAGCATCAAGGCATTTGGTAAAGGTGGCTGCTGCCACACTTTTGGTTTGCACCCATGAAAAAAATTATACCAAGCCATTAAACTCATGCATTGAATTAAACACTTTTTTCAGATGTGCAACCATGCAGGAAGGAGACGAAGATCTGTGCCTACAACTGTTGCTGATGGAGGTCCTTCTGTCATTACCATGGCCTGGGCATAAGTGCTGAGCAGTTGACCACCTCTCCGAGTGGCCTCAAGCAATTCAAAATGCTAGAAATTGCTATTGCTAAAGCTAAGACTCCCACCGTTGCTATTGCATCTTGTTTTATGGCATAATCTCCCACTTCAACCCCCCTCATGAGATCATTGTTTTGAATTGTATTTGTTTGTTTTGTTCTCTTTGGGGCTCAGCAACTGCACAACCACTCCAACTTTATTCTCCTGTCATTGGTCATACTTGGGTAAAGTACAAACAAACAAACAATGTTGTAAACCCTTCAATCAGTACATTTGCTTGACACACATTTGCACACTCATGAAATCCGATGATACCCTTTTCAAGATGGAACCACAATTACAAAAATTTAAATTTGACATCAAAACATACAATATAACATTACATATGCTATTGTATTGTATATGCTATACCTTGCAATGATCTTCCACTTCGCATCTCTGTATTTTGTCTCCTTTCCAGGGAAAAGTACATTTCTACACGTATGTTGTAATCCGAGGCGTCACACTAGTCTACTAGAAAAACTTTTTTGGAAGCTCACAAACACATTACCCTGAATGGCACTCAGGATTTTTTAATGTTCACAGTTTGCATTGCAATGCAAGATGATGGTAATTTCAGATGTAATTTTAAATCTCTTTGCTGTTCCTTAACTTCACACAATCTGTCAGATAAGACCAAATGTACCTAAATTTAAATTTTTTTCCTTTTTTTTTAATGATCAGTAAATTGTGGTTAGTGTTTGTTTACGGTTGAATACATCATTACGGTGGTTGATTGGGGAGTTATTAGGGAACACTTGTTGTTTTAACTTGGACTTGTTTGTTGGTGTAATGCTTGCGTCATGGCACCTGTTTGTTTCACACCTTTGATTGCAGCCACGTCATTAGAGGGCACTAAATGTAGCAGGTGTGAAACCTTCGTGTGCTCGAGGGGTTACATACGTGTGGGCGTGTGTGTGTATGTCATATTCACACCAAAACATAACGACACAAAATAAATACAAATGCCTATTGTGTAATAAAGTCTGTGATGTAACCTTCACACATCAGTACCCCATACAACAACTTCAACTACAAACAACAAATGTACATTCACACGTACACTTACACTCTTCATTATTGCGTCATCTTCGAATCATTCGTTTTTGTTGTATGCTTCCCAAAACAATAATGTAATCATAATGGGTATTTTTTTTAAATGTCTATCTATTTATCTGTCCATCCATCAACCCACCCTTACTTCTTTCTCTATGTACCAATTGACAGTAGCCACCTACTCATCATTTGTCCCTGACCTATTCATCCATCCATTTATCCTCCAAACATGACAGTATTTTGAGATGGCACTGCACATATCAATATGGGTGCTCATTCGAGCCAAAGTTCCCTTTCCAAACAAAGTTACAAAAGGCCTGATTATCAGATGTCAATTTTTTCGACCTGTATACCCATCAAGCACAGCTGGATGCCCCCTCATTAACATTCATTGATAGTGGATGACCGACGCAACCTGAAAAAATAAAGTTTGGTGGGGAGTGCTTCGGGAGTATGGTATACCGAGCCCCCTGATATGGGCTGTTCGGTCCCTGGACCACCGATGTCAGAGTTTGGTCCGCATTGCCGGCATTAAGTCGGATTTGTTTCCAGTGAGGGTTGGACTCCACCGAGGCTGCCCTTTGTCATGATTCTGTTCACAATCTTTATGGACAGAATTTCTAGAGGGTCAGTTTTGGTGCTCTCCGTATTGCATCTCTCTCCAAATCGAGGATGATGTCCTGCCCCAAGTTTGGAGTTTAACTATCTTGGGGTCTTGTTCACGAGTGAGGTTAGGATGGAGCGCAAGATCGACAGGCGGATTGTTTTTTGTGTGTGTGTGTGTGTGTGTGTGTATATATATATATATATATATATATATGTATGTATATGTGGCACTACCATCAGCGATTTTATGTTCCATCAGAGATTTTATGCGCGCGTGCGTATGTTCCATCAGAGATTTTATGCGCGCGTGCGCACAACACACACACACACACACACACACACACACACCCCTGTGCCGTATCGAATCGAAATCCCACTAAAATGAACCAAATCGAATCAAATCATTTTAGAATGAAACACCCTTCAATCGTATCACACCGTATTTATTGAGATATAATTGTTTTTCATTGGAGAGATGCATAGTGTTTATTTTTTTGTTCCCTGTACACACACACACACACACACACATACACACACACAGGAGCAGAAGCAGCCTATTAGCTGCTAAAATAAAAGATAAGATCATAATCTGTTCGTGGTTTAATCCTTAAGTGAGACCAAGTGAAAGTTAAAAAAAAAAAAACTTTCAGCCAGTCCAGGTCATGTCTTTCAAAAGCTGTCATGGAGATAGAGGTTGGTGACGGGAACAGTCAATTTCAAGAAAAACAAGAGATGTGTTGTTTTTCCGTTGAGCACAGGGGCACCCCAACATGTCCCGAATGCACAGAAAAAGTTGCAGTGCTCAAGAACACAAATGTCATAACTCAACTCGACATGTTGAGAAGCATGCATCGTACCAGGGAGATGAGAAAGAGGACCAAGATCTTAGCAATCTTGTTCACATTCTGAAGAACGGTAATGTTCTGAAATGTTCTGAATCAAGACTGAGAACATTGAATACTTGACACCTTTTTTGTGGACTACTTGATGCTGCCAAGACGCACCCAGACTTTATCTCCAACAACCCCATACAAGTTGATTTTGAGACCCGTGGTGTAGAGTAATATTTTTCTTTTTTAAAAACACACTTTTTTGGGGGGTATGAAACAGCTTAATGGTAATGGTATAATTTCAATAGCAGATGATTTGCGCTACGAGCGACTCAACTTGCAAGTCAAGGTTGCCGCTGTACAGTGCATGACCCCTCACGGTGCGGTCAGATGATCTTGTCGTCACTGTTGTCATGGTGACATCCCGCCATTACATTGTTGTACAACTTGTGGGCTTCTTCCGGCATGTCCTGTACTGTGACATGATGATCCCTGCGTCCCCATTTGGGGGTGGAGTAGAGGTGACTGCGAAGGTCGGCTGGGGCGGCCATGACCTTCCAGGCATCTCCTTTCAGCTCTTCGGGGATGTCGTATTCGGAGGGTGGGGCTCGCGAGTCTTTAACTTGCGGCTCGTCGTAAATGTGATCTGCTCTCCTGTCGAGCGGCGCCATGGCGTGGCCCTCTGGGCCCTCGTCGCAAAGACAGGTCGGGTTCAGCATCACCTCCGAGTATTCCTGCTCACTGGGGGGCGCCGTGCAAGGTGGCGTGCATGGTGCAGGAAAGGACACCTGTGAGTATGTGGGGTCCATGGACCGCTGATCGGGGCTGGAGGGGCAGCAATTTACAGAGACCATCCCCCGGCTGTCATCCAACGTTAACCCGCTGACCCCTACCGCTGTCTGCGCCAAGGCCACCTGACACACCAATCAGCAGCAAATCTCAACATCAACATCATCATGTCACGTGATGATGTCATAATGTTGTGACATCAGATTATGACACACATACTGACCTGAGCGGCCGAGGATGGCCAGTCATGAGTATGTGGCGTGGGCGGTAAGGGCGGCAGGTTGGCCTTCCGGGAGCGGTCCCGCCTCACGGGCATGCCTCCTGATGTTTGACGGGCACGCTGAATGCTAATGGCTGCTTCAACTGCTTGGAACAGGGAGTGACCTTCTTTGGTGTCAAACTCAAAATTGCCTTCACCAGATGCGCTACGACGACCTGCCTCCACGGAGAAACAGCTCTGAAACACACACACACACACACACACACACAGACACACACACACACACACACACACACACACACACACACACACTGTATTGATGCATCCTTAGTATGTGTAGCGTGTGTGTGTGTGTGTGTGTGTGTGTGTGTGCGTGTGTGTGTGTGTGTGGGTCTGTGTGTCTGTGTGTGTGCGCGCGCGTGTGTGTTTCAGAGATGTTTCTATTGTGTGTGTGTGTGTGTGTGTGTGTGTGTGCGTGTGTGTGTGTGTGTGGGTCTGTGTGTCTGTGTGTGTGCGCGCGCGTGTGTGTTTCAGAGATGTTTCTATTGTGTGTGTGTGTGTGTGTGTGTGTGTGTGCACACCTTGTCCCGCCCAAAGCGGCGAAGGAATCGGTATGGCCAGGACATCAGTGTAACACCTTGACTGTCCAGCAGGTGGAGTGCGTCCACGCTCGCTCTGAGAACGCCATCTCCCTTTAAACTGCAACGTTCAGATGACGCAGTACTACGCACATGCACCCGGAAGTCACGCCCTATACACACACACACACACACACACACACACACACACACACACACACACACACACACTTAGTGTTATTGTCTGCCAATGAGCCAATGACTTTCAGTTAGATGTCGATTTCCTGTTTGAGTTGCTCATTTCCTGTGTGATGTTTTCAGAGTAAATCCTCAGACATTTATTGGCAACCACAAATGTCTAAAAAAAGAAACCTGCGGCTGCTTCGAATTCTTATTTTTGCATGGGAAGTTTCCGATCCTACCTATGCAAAGTTGCAAACGACGACCTGCAAGTTTTTGGACTATAGATGCGCTCTGATTCTACAAATGTTTTGGAAAGGTGTCTTGGTGGAAACCTTTATGCCACCTTTAGCATAGATGACCCCTGACCACCCTTCACGAAATGATATTACCCACCTTCTGTGCCGCAGCAACATTTAAAGCAACAGGAAACCGATGTAGTTGACAGACTACACGAAGATACTCGAGTTTCATGCTCAAATTTACATTTCATAAAAGTCATTAAAAAAAATTGGAATAAAACTTTTTTCCTGTCACAAATGAATAGACAACGAAGAAATAAATGTTCAAAGCTGAAGGAAAGGTGTGATTCCACAGAAATACAGGCGTAAACACTTTTCCATAATTTATTAAAGAACGGGCCATTCCAAAATCAATGAAAAACATCATTAGTGATGCTTTCGCTCCTTTCACAAAAACAATTTGTATCTGTAAATGTTTCATTTGCGACCCTCTGGCTAAAAAAATGGATAGTTGGATGGAAATTAAGCTACCATTTTGCACGTCTTCTCGTGGCACTCACATATTCACCTGCATCATGTTGTTCGAACCACAAACACTCAAATGAAAGCAAAGCCCATCAACAAAAAAAACAGCAAATTATTTCTATTTGCACATCGCCAATAGGAGACTGTCACTGTGAAATGTAAAACTAACATCAGTAAATCATGCTTCATGATACTGAGATAATATTCTCTGAATGGTCGATGCGGCCAAGCGACATTCCTTCTTTGCGAGTATCTCATTCCTACATTCGGGGATACTGGCGTAAAAACATGCACTGATAACAGTGTTTTCAGTGAAAACCGAACGGAAGTGGTCAGTAACAGTGGCAAAGGAAGATGGCTGCCCTCTTTGCGTCAGCTGCAAAAGGCCACTGTGAGTCTATTTCATTTTAGACGTCCGTGCGGGCAACACGGTGCAGCTCGTGGTCAGCACGTATGCCTCGCAGCCGTATGCTTAGAGTTTCTGGCACAGAATCTTTGGGTGAGGTGTTTGCCAGGTTTGCACTCCGCTTTCCAACCATTTCCACAAATCATGCGTGTACTCCTAAATGTACAGTGCATGAATGTATGGTGTATGTTTAGATTTGTTAGAGTATACGTCTGTTTCTTTTAGGTACCCAAAGTATGTTTGTTATGTTCCTTATGTTTGTGAAATGTTTCTTCGCTGTGTACGTAGTTAACTCTGTTATGCTTGGTTGAAGGTTTGTTTAATCAACTCCACATTTGCCTTCAACCACAACAAAAGTTGGCTTTATTGTCTGGAGAACTAATTTCCTGTTGCATGCTTTGAGGTTCAATGTAGCTCTCTCTCTCTCTCTCTCTCTCTCTCTCTCTCTCTCTCTCTCTCTCTCTCTCTCTGTCACGCACGCATGCACGGAGTACCTGGGTCAGTGGTGGAGCTGTACAAAGCGTTGTCCTCCATCCCTTCTTGGTCTTTTCCTTTATCTTGTTTTTGTTGTTGTTCTCTACTTTTGCTGGACTCCTCCCAGCTCACCTGCAATGCCGATCACAATCACAACCAGATACTAATGCCAATAATAATAATAATAATAATAATAATGAGCATACATACAATATATGAAGTATATGACTCAATTTACACCCCCACCCACCCACCAATTCATGGACTGTCATTTATAAAGCCCTTTTCTACCTTTAGTCCTCAAAGAACTTGACACTGTTTCCTCATTTACTTATTGAAGACGCAGCAGGAGCAACTGGGGGTTCAGTATCTTGCTCAAGGACACTTAATATACAATATAAAAACTCCAGCTATGTGGGGTGGTGCGGATGTGGATGCCTTCCTGTAACCATAACCCCTCCCCATCAGCCCTACCCTTTACACACGCCTGCCAACGAGTTATTAGGTTTTTTGGGAGAAAATACTTCTTTCACACAGTACCATGTAGTTTTGAATAGTCTTTTCTCCTTAATGAATAAAATCCATCCATCCATCCGTTTTCTGATCTGCTTATCCTCACAAGGGTCGCGGGGCGTGCTGGAGCCTATCCCAGCTGTCTTCAGGCAGCAGGCGGGGGACACCCTGAACCGGTTGCCAGCCAATCGCAGGGCACACAGGGACGAACAATCATCCGTGCTCACACTCACACCTAGGGACAATTTAGAGTGTTCAATCAGCCTGCCATGCATGTTTTTGGAATGTGGGAGGAAACCGGAATACCTGGAGAAAACCCACGCAGGCATGGGGAGAACATGCAAACGCCACACAGGAAGGCCGGGGCCGGAATCGAACGCTGCACCTCTGCACTGTGAGGTGCTAATCCGTCAACCACCGTGCCACCACGAATAAAATCAATGTAAACAATTGCATTTCATTTTGACTTGGTTTATCTTTGCTTGATGGTTTTGAGGTAGGGAAATTGCAAAAATGAATCTTAAAAGAGAGCAAATGTGTATTATTTGAATAATCGTGGCAGCCCTCGCTTCAACGGGAACTTTATCCTGGCAAATGTGGAATTATGGTTGTGTGCTTACGGGAAAGGCGAGCTGGCACAGTGTTGTGGCCCATTCGTTGACGTGGTCAGCGCGAGCCGCCAGCACCACAACCTTGTCGACAGTCTCCAGTAGGAAGGGGGCAGAATCAGCCGGGCACGCCTCCACGTGGACGTTGGTACTCACGCGAACCAGGTCAGACAGACGGATAACCTAAGGGCAGGACAATGGACATTGTGATTGCGTTGTGAATGATGAGTGACGCTTCACTGTGATTACGAGACAGACAGACTGTTGGACAGACCTTAGTGTGTTTGCGTCCGCTCCTTTGCTTCTTCTCACCACTGCCGCCGTCTTTGATTTCCCACAATTCCAGACGGGAGATGGAAGAAGAACTTTCCCGGAACAGCACGCACCACATGCTCTTCCATTTCTGCGCAAACACACACACACACACACACACACACACACACACACACACACACACACACACACACACACACACACACACACACACACACACACACACGCTTCTTTGTGATGCAAACAGTAACTCAAGTGCACTCTCCAGCTTTGCATCGCTTTCTCGCTTCCACGATGTTTGTTTGGCTGCTGGGTTTTTGTTTATTGTTTCCAGATGACAGACGCAAACTTAATTTGTGTGTCTTTCATGTTTCCCGAAGAGCTTCATTCATAACTTTGTTGGCGCCCTTAGTGTTTGTTGAACAAGTACAGCCCCTGGCAAAAAAATTAAGAGATCGCCAGTCTCAGAGGATACGCATTCGGTTGTTTCATTTTGTAGAAAAAAAAACAGCTCATAGAGATAACACAAAGTAAAATAATTTCAAATGGCAACTTTCCGACTTTAACCCTTTCATGCACCCTGTATCCTAATAACATGATAAGATGTCCAATGTAGTAACTGCTGTCCCTAGAAGGGTTAAGAAACACTAAAAGAAATCAAGAACAAAATGTGGTAGTCAGTAACAGCTACTTTAGACCAAACCGAGCAAAAAATATGGAATCACTCAATTCTGAGGGGGAAAAAATGTGGACTCACTTTATAAATTCACATTGCCAAAACCAAACACCTGCATCACATTAGATCTGCTCATGAGTTAAACAGGAATGGTCACACCTTGGAGAGCTGTTGCACCAAGTGGACTGACATGAATCATGGCCCCCAACATGAGAGATGTCAGTTGAAACAAACGAGAGGATTATCAAACTTCTTAAAGTAAATAGCTCAATCATCAGCAATGTTCCAAAAGATGTTTGTTCAGTCAGCCATGTCTAAATTCTGGAGCAATAACAAACCCCACGGCAAGGTTGTTAAAAGCAAGACGATTGGTAGACAAAGGAAGACATCAAAGTGTCAAGACAGGAAACTTAAAGAATATGTCTTAAAAACAGAAAATGCACAGGAAAACAAATGAGCAAAAAAAAAAGTGTGACATCCATCACCAAATTGTAAGAAACTGCTCAAAGAAAATGAGATTACATACAGAAAGGCTCAACAAAATCCAACACTAAAATCTAGACGGAAATAAAAACAAGGTTACAATGGGCTCTGGAAAAACGTGTCAAGTCTTTGTTAAGGTAGGCAGTGATTTATTTTTCACAAACTCTTGTATCTGCTTTATTTTTCCATTTGGTTCATGTTCGGGGCCGTTATGGTTGTTGCTCATCATGGCATGCGTATGTACCTGCGTATGTACTTGCGTGTGTGTGTGTGTGTGTGTGTGTGTGTGTGTGTGTGTGTGTGTGTGTGTGTGTGTGTGAGAGAGATGATTGCGGTATGTTCATTGCTTGTCAAGTAGATCTTTGGTCAAAAAAAGGTTGGGCACCCCTGCTGTACAGAGAAGAGGCACGGAGACTGTTGACGGTCTACAGTCCTTTAGCCAATCAGAATGCAGAACACGATGCAAAAATAAATAAATAAAAAATAAAATAATCTGCATTTAAAAAAATTATCTTTGAAACAGCGGATCTGTGAAAGTTGAACTGCATTATCGCAAAGGTTTTCCTTATAGTGTTTGCGTGAATATTCGTTAATATCTAAACAGTCAATAGTGTCACTAGACTGCACTGTCAATACGACATTTGCAGAGGCCAATAGCGATCCAGACTCACCTTTCAACGATGCTATGTCACAGATCCGCTTCCGGCAGGCCAAGAAGGAGCAGGTTACATCTGCGCGCTTAGCTGCTATAGCGTCTCGGACAGTAAAGTGCCTCGAGCTATTATAAATCCAAAAAAAATCCAACCAGTGTATCCAAAAAGTGTTTGGATGCCATTTTTTTCTTGATAAACCATAAATATTTTTCCTTCGGACCATCATGGGTACACTTTAAATGAAGCGTAACACAATTTCTTCTTCAGTATTGTCCTTTTAACTCATTTACTGTGAGCACATGGTAAAGCAATGGACCTTTTTACTTCTATAGTCGTCAATGACAAGTGAATGAGCTTTAATATGTGACCGCTGCCAACTTTGCAGGAGGGTTGCCATTTTCAAATCATTTGACCAGACGGTGTGGTTTATTTGGTCACTGCTCAAGGAGTGCGTACACAGTGATTTATTTATTTGTTTATTTATTTTACCTTGCAAGATGATATTCATATCAAAGTCTCGTTGGACAGCAAAAGTAATTCAACGTTCACCCTGTACTGCAAAACATACTTCACTTCAGCAAATTTAAATGCCTTTTTTCCAAGTTCAGTTTTAACCCTCAAGACAGACCATAAAAACAAAGGTAAAAAACAATCCAAAAAAAAAAAAAAAAAGAACACTGAAACAAGGGCAGCGTCTGGGAACAGCAATTGAAAAACCTCAGGTCTTGAGACATGGCTACCTCCAGAAGCACCTGGTCAGCTGAATCTCAAAAATTCTGAAGTCAATGGGCTGTCACTTGTATAGCGCTTTTCATCCTCGGCTATTCAAAGCATTTCACACCTTATTCACCTCCTGATGACGCAGCATCAGGAGCAATTGGGGGTTCAGTATCTTGCTCAAGGAGACTTTGGCATGGTTACAATGGCCGGAGATCAAACCACCAACCTCTGGGTTGGGAAACGACCACTCTACCACTGAACCAGGTCGCCCCCTTGAGAGAGTTATGTGCTCCTGATTCCGTGCTCCATTTAAGAGGCAAGCAGGTATCCAGGCAAGAAGATACGCATAACTTAATTCAAAGTCATGGTGAGTAAGAAAGGTTCTGCCAAAGTTGAAAAACGATGGACTTAACAACTGCACACTATTAGCCATCCAATTTCAAATCACTGTCCAACTTGAAAGTGAAGCTTGTTTGTTGGTTTGGAGATTGTTACCTTCACAAACTGTGCAAAGGGGCCCTAAGTCAACGGGAAAGACAGCAGTGTCGTACAACCACAACACCAACACTTGGCTTGCATATCCTTAGATTTAAAAAGTTCAAGGCCATCCAGTTCATGTTCTATAGACAAATCCAGTTTCAGTTTCAACGTTTCGACCAAGTGATGTGTGTGAAGGAGAGACAAAATCCAAATTATAAACACTGAATCATCACCCTTCAAAAATCACAATTGGGAGTAGATTTTGCACTCAGCCTTAGCACTGAACGAGCAAGTGCAATCACCCGTCAGCATCAGGGCACATGGAGACAGAAAGACGCCTTCCCATTCCCAATCACACCAGTGAACAAATGATTGGTCTTCAATTAAGCTAACATGCTAAGAAATGGAAGAAAACTACCAATCACAAAAGCCACAGCTGGGATTCAAACCTGGAATCTCAGACCAGGGAAGGAGAAGAGCTAACCTCAAGGTTATCGTGATGTAAACATTTTGCTGTAAATGATTGTGAATAATGATGTGAATGTTCAAAAACATGGTTTCGCTTTGATGGGTGTTTTGGTTGGTTCCATGTTAGCAATAGCTTTGAGTTAGCACGTGTTACCTTTCCAAACCTGTGGTGCTGCAAGTAAACGTTTCCTTCTTTCTTTACGTCCTCATCCATCCTTACACGTCGCACTCGTCGCCGTCGTCGTCTTAATCCACTTAAACTAGGTTTTGCGTGTCTTTTGTGTGTGTTGCGTCTTTTTTTTTTGTGTGCTGAAGTTTGTGGCTTCAACTTCCTGTTCTTGTGTCTTCAATGTCACTTCTTCTCTTGCGTTATCATCTTGACGTCTATGCGGAGACTTCCTGTCATACGCCTCTTAAAACACACGCAAACCGGACATTGTACACAAGCTGAACTTCATCTTCTTGTTTGTGTTTAAAGCAACAGGACGCTGCTGTTATGACTTCAGTCTGTAACAATTGCTTTATTTAGATTTTGTTTCGTTATGTTTTGTGTCGCTGGGATTTGATGCGCAAGCTTCGCCTCTTCACAAGCGATCAATCACGTTGTCGTTCAGAATACAAATCAGCATCCCATTTAACCTCATCTATATTTGTATTTCTACAATATATCTTTTCCGATGTAAACTATAAAAGCTTTTTAAAAAATTCATGGTGATCCAGAGGAAGATAGGTCATCATCATCAATAGAGGTCATGGTCGTAGTCCAGAGCGTCACTCAGCTGTTTCATGACGGACACGTGATTGGCCAAGTAGGATGACAGCTCCTCTGAAGCACAATCACATGATCAAAGAGAGAATGTGTCATTGTGCGACCGATCACAAAGCTTTACACTGGGCGACCTATCAGAAGAAAGCATTGAGTCAAGCAGCAAATGTTTAATCATGTGCCAAATCAAAAGTGAGCGTAGGAATGAAGCGACCACTTCGAAGAAAGTGTGTCATCAAGTGCAATTCGAAAAAATGTGTTATCATCAGACCAATCAAGAGAGGGCGTGTCAATCAAGCAACCAATCTGAATAAATCAAAACATGCGACCATCAGACAGCATGTTCAGAAAAGAGAGTCTAATAAGCATCCAAATTATCTAATCAATGAAATGACAATCAGAAAAAGGGCATTGAGTGAGCATGGACTCAAGTGTGCAATCAGAGGAGAGCGGTGAATAGAGCAACCAATCAGAAGTGAGCAGCTAATTGGCATCCACCCAGGAGAGCATGTCATTAGGCCATCAATCAAAAGAGGGCGTTTTATCAAGCGATGCATCAGATGGCAACAGCTAGTCGAGCAACCAATCATATGAGAGCATTGAGTCATGCGCCCAATCAGAAGTGAGCATCTAATCAAGCGACCAATCATAAATGTTCAGTTAATCGCACGACCCATCAGAGGTGAGCAATTATTTAAATATCCAATTAGAAGAGAGCATTTAATTAAACATGCCCAATTAAAACAAAAACACGTCACATGACAAATCAGAGCGCATTTCCTTAGGCAACCAATTATTATAGCAGCTGATTAAATGACCATTCAGAAAACTGAGTCACGTGACAAACCAGAATGTATTTTGAATCAGGCATTCCATTCAGAAGAGCGCGAAATCATGTGACCAATCAGAAGTGTGTGTTATCAAGGGAGCATTCAGAAGAGAGAACTGAATGATGCGACTGCTTATCAGAGACACCTCACCCGCTGGCAGGACCCCGAGTGCAGCCGAGGCGGAGGAAGAGCCGAGGCTGTTACGGGCGATGCAGTGATAGGTTCCCGAGTCCTGAGGCTCCGCCCCTTCAATCTGCAGCCAACTGGAAAGCTCAAACTGCAGAGGACCGCCGCGACTCTGGAGACGCAAATGATGGGAGACTAGCCCAAATTTGTTTCTCGTTTTCATGCCAAATGCAATGCTAAAGATTTTTTCCACGCTTTATGCGATACTAAGCTAACTTTTCAGTCATTTTTCTGGTGTTAATGCTAACCCAGGCTCACGCTTCCATCATTTTTCAGATTCTCATGCTACACTTGGCTAGCACTTGACTGTTTGGTTTTGTTGAGTTCAGTTTTGTCGGGTCATGCACACACGTCACCTGCACAGAGATGTGTGGGTCGTCTCCGGGCAGGATGACATCGTCATGGTCATCTCCTCCGTCCTTGTTCGGTTTGTCGCCACCGCCTTGTTTGTCCTTGCGCCATTCCACTGCCGCCATTGGGAAAGCGAATACCTCGCACAGGAAAACAAGATGGCTACCGCTCCCGTTCACTTGACTTTTAGGGCCCACTTTGATCACCGGAACTGAGGTGAGGGAGAAGGTTAAGGGTGAGTGTGAGTAGAATGTGAGGGGGGTGTGTGTGTGTGTGTGTGAGACTTGTGTGTTAATTTGTTGTTCTGAGTGTGTATGTTTGCCTTTGAGGGCGTCTGTGTGACAATGTGTATTTGTGGGTGTGCACAGTCCTACATACCAGTCTTGCAGGGGCCCCTCCCCCTGGTGTGCAGTTTGGGGTCCGAGAATGCGACTACTTTGAAGTGGCACATGTTTGCGTACGTCACTCCGTCACTGCCGCACACCGCCTCGCGCTCCTCGCAAACGCACACTTGCTCCTCTTCATCCTCATCCTCTTCTTCCTCCACATGGCTGCGTCCCCATCCAGCGGGTCGTGGGTCCGCTTGGCACCGAAGCCCGGCCCCGCAGAGTCCAAAGCGGACATTGGTGCGTCCCGGGTCGCAGGCTTGCCCCTCCAGATTGGCGCATTCCAAGCAGCAGCCGCAGCGGTCCGTGACCACGCCAGCGCGGCAGCCGCTCGTCGCCGGACACAGGTCGGCTTGGCATGGGCCGCAGCCCGCCGGAGGGGCCGCCGCGTCGGTGGGCGTCGGCCCTGACGGCTGGTTGTCAAGAGACCGGCATGGACGCGGGTTCGGACAGAGAACCAGGAGCAAAATCACAACCGGTAGAAACATAACCGTGATGCTGCGCGAACACTGCCGTACAAAAAGTGCTCTCTGGGGCCGTTATGAGACGCAAAATGTCAGAAGAAAAAACAGTAAAGTTTTTGTTTTTCTTTACTTGAAAACAGCTGAGCCGCTCGCGCTGCTTCCAAATGCACGTGTGTCAAATGACACCGTAATAACCCAGGCACTTCCTGTTTGTTCCTTTAGAGGAAAAGCTCAACCGGAAGTGTGTTTTGGGTTCTTGTGCACGGTATTTTGACGGGGATGTTTTAAAAAAGACAAATAATGCAAAGAGAACAATACAAAACCACCAAAGAACAAAAGTGAAACTTTTGTTGTAGCTTGTGTCCCCTTCTTTGTTTTCGCGTTTGTGTGTCACCCACCCCCCACCACATGCATATCCACAACAGCTGCTCCTCTCATCAAATCTGCAGACCACCTGGATGAACTAAAAGGTCTGAAGGAAAGTGGCCATTCCACAAGAGCTCCAGCAATACTGAAGTAACAACGAGACACTTTTCCACTTTCTTTGTTCTTCTTTCTCCAAAGGGTAAAAAAAAATTAAAAATGCAGCGGTGTGGTGCAAGCTCATCGTTTTCCTAACCTCAACCTATTTCGGAGTTACTGTGTCTGCAAATAGCACAAATGTTAGGTTTGTGTGTTTGTGGCACACCGCCGGCTACCAAACTCCGCCCACATATCACATGACACAATTAAAACAAAAAAACATTATTTTTCTCCTTTACATTTTACACCATCAGGATTTTGGGGGCTGATCACAATGATTGATCAGCAAGTTAAAAAAAAATCAATGTATGGTGCAAACCTTATTTACTGCAGATACTTGTGCACTGTTTATGGAGTATCAACAAAAGTGCAATTTGAAGATGAAATCTTTATTCTTTAAAAGGGACCAGAACTTGATTTTTAGTCATTTACATAACTTATAAACAGTATCATTGCGGACAGTGCAACGGAAAGACACATTCTAAAATGTGCATGGGCGGTGGGGAGGATTTACTCAAACATCGAGACTTTTGACACTTCAGTCATTTAGGCACTTTATTTGCAATACTGTACCAAAAAGAAGAGCAGCTCCTGTATTGATTAGCACAAGGAGCAAAATATAAGACAGGGGGTCAAACTAGTTTTGGTTTCCTTCAGAGGGCCATAATGACTCTGAACCCAAATAAATATGTGTTTGCCTCATATTATATGTACACAAAATGATGAATACCTGTTTTTAAAATCACAGGCCATTAAAACTGTTTGTTTAAACATTATTACAATTATACATTTATCAGTGGCAGCCACAATTTATTTGTGGCAGCCCGGCACAGATAAACCTATATGTGAAACACAAAACACTTGCTGTAATGTCTCAATTTGCGGATCAGATGAATTATGTCATTGATCGGATGCCGATCACAAAAATTAACAAAATATCCTATCTGATAGACCCAATCAGATGATGGAAAGACTGCTTTAAGCTGACATCTAACTTTGTTTAAAAAAATGTGATGAATAAACAAATCAACTCCAATGAACAAATTGCAAAAAGACTCAAATGTGCGTAACTAACTTTTGTTATGCGTTCTAGTGCACATGTAAACAAACACTCAATTAAATTAAAAAAAGTATTCAAAGCTTCTTATTGGTTGCTGACAGTGTCTCTGGGGTGTGGCAGGGTGGGGCCAATGGCACTGATTCCTGAGAAGTGATTGGCTGGAGCTCCTGAGACATCACATGCAATCTTTCTCTGTCTCACACACACACACACACACACACACACACACACACACACACACACACACACACACACACACACACACACACACAGGTTACAATCATACCCCGGTTAAAATCACATATACGCAGGTTACAGTATCACACACACACACACATGCACACACACACACACACACACACACACACACACACACACACACACACACACACACACACACACACACACACACACACACACACACACACACACACACACACACACACACACACACGCACACACAAAAAAAAAAAACATCATCATTACATAGCATACTTGCCGAAGTCATTTTTCAATCTTTTCAGGACACAAAAAAAAACCCTACACAATGGTATTTTTTTATTGGGTCTTTTTCTTTTCGCTTACTTGTTCACACATCTAGTTGAAGTATTTGTTACAATACCCCCCGCCCAAAAAAAAGTTATGCCCTGTGGCCGACGATATGCAGGTTGCAATCTCTCACACACACACACACAAACACACACACACACACACACACACACACACACACACACACACACACACACACACACACACAGATACTCAAGAGGCGTGTCACTTCCGTGTTTGAAAATGTGTTCCGACTCACATGAATGTTGCTCTGTTGTGTCTTTCCTTTCGTCATCACTTTCTTGTCATCACACGGTGAAGTGGGTGAAGATGTCACTGTGGCACCAGGCCGCATGGTGGCCAGGAGGGCAGGGAGGGCAAAAACGGACAGGAATCGAGCCTTCAAGAGCAGGTACGCCGGATTTGAGCCCAAATGATCCTTCACCAAAGCACGCAGCGAACTTTCTACACCAAAATCAGGGAAATCACAATCAGTGACACTGTGCGCGCGGGTGCACGGGAGCGTGTGTGCGCACGCACCTGTTTGGTCAGAGGTGGCGTCAGGGGGCATGGCCTGCGTCTGGGCATAGCAGTCGAGAAGTTGAGCGGCGGTGCTAGCAAGCCTAGTTCTGTTGGCAAAGATTGCAGCAAGTGCGCCGAGGCTGCTGCTGCACGGTGGCAAGTAGGGAAGAGAAATGCCAAGGTGGGGTATGGCCACGCCTCCCGAGCCGCTCAGCCAGTCACTGACCACTGCTGGTGACCCCGGGGAAACAAGGGAGGGGTCGATGTTAAGACCAGCCCTCTCCAAAGGCACGGGGGAGGGACCACTGGCGGAGGGGAGGGGTCTGATGGCAGCACTTAACACAAAATTGGGAGATTGCGGGAGCTGGACACTCCCATTGGGATGAGCAAACAAAGACAGAGTGTGTATGCTGGGAGGCGGGGTCACCAGTTTGGCTCCACCCTCTTTGGGTTTGGATTTACGCCAACTTCGTCTCTTCCTTTCAGTGGCTGAAGCCTGCTGACAAACACATCAATAACAGGTGCAATAGCGCCCATGTCTCTTCGTGTGTGTTGAAATTTAAATGTGTGTGGGTGTGTGTGTGTGTGTGTGTGTGTGTGTGTGTGTTGTATGTTTACAAGATGTCTGCGTATGTGAGAGGGAAAAAAAAGAGCTGGAAATAAGTGAAAATCTGACCTGCAATTGGAGGGCTTTGTGACTCAACTTTCTGACTCGTTTCCCTCCAGTGCTGAGCGTTTCGCTGCCGGGATCATCATCCCGCGCGCGCTTCCTCCCCGTGAGGGATGGCTTGGGGATGGGAAGGGTGTAGGCATGGTCGATAGTGACCGTGGAGGTGGATGGGCCCAAGGCGGGTGTCACCGATGAACGAGGAGGGGGTGGAGCTAGAGGGGGCAGGTGGGTGGGGCCCACAGGCAGGGGTGGGGACACAAAGCACACAGGAAGAGAGGGCGCGGTCAGCAGGCAGATGGGACCAGGTGTGCGGGGGAGGAGGGTTGGAAGGCGTTGCGATGTCTGGGGGGACACAGGAGCATGTTAATCACCCCGTTAATCAAAAGATGTCAATCAATGGCTATTGAAGAGAAAAAAAGTTAACCTGTGATTGGAGCTTGACTGGAGGTGGAGCACGAGGTGGCATGGTCAACGAAGGGGGCATGGTCAGGAGGCAGACTAAAGGGGCGGATTGGGGGAGGAGGTGAACCTGTTGCAATGCCCTCACCGGCTGCGTGTCTGAGTTGCGGGCTCGGGTGGAGTGCAACATGGCTGCCACAGTCTTTGGGTTCTTGAAGCCCGGGGGCTTGCACTTGCGCTTCTGCGTGGACACCTGGCGAGACATTCGGACAGGTTTCTTTGGTGGTGACCGAGGGGGCGGTAGTGGGGTGTCCCGCCGGGGCGGACAGCGAAGCCTCCGCAGGGGTGACGTTCGCTTCTCTCGACTCCGCCTGAGGATGACTTCCTTGCAGCCCGAAAAGTCCACCATCATGGCGTGGAGGAGGAGCCTGAAGACGGGGGTGGAGCTCAACGCCGTCTTGTGCCCGAGGGCATCAGCCAGCGTGGGTACGGTTAGGCTGGGCATGAGCACATTACCCACCCAGGGTAACACAGCTGCCTGTAGCATGTAATTCATCTCCGTGTCGGTCACGTGGCCCTTCTTCGGGCGATGTTGGAGGTTGTTGTACTTGTTAGCCTGATGACACAGGTGCGAATGCAGCTCCTTCTGTGACACCATCAGCATGGCACCGTTCACGTGGCGCTCCTCCCAGCTCAGCTCCCGTGGCGGTGGTCCCACCACAACCGATCGGCCAAATTTGGCCACTACCGTGGACCGGACAGACCCTGTTCCTGACAGGTGGCAGTTAGGCGCTGGATCCAGCGTCACCAGCCGGTCCGTCGGGAAACTGAACTCTTGACTTTCTTCATGTGGGATCCATTCGTGCATGGGTGGGACCAGATAATACTCTTCCTCCTCCTCCTTCTCCTCATCCTCTTCCTCACTATTCCCCTTCACTGACTCTTCTTCCTCATCTTCTTGCTTCTCGTCATCAGTGTCCATATACGTAATCTGGTCCTCATCCTTATCTTCCTGGCTGCTATCCTCCTCCTCCTCCTCTTCTTCTCTGACTTTCTGCAGACGCTTCCTGATGCCTGAGCTCATCTTGGTTTTCACCGCCTGAATGGTTTTGCTGTCTTGGGAGATCTTTGGTCTTCTTTTAATCTGTTGGAGAAAAAAAAAACACATGCCCGCATACAATAATATGAAGACAGTTCCATTGTGTTTTATGCTAACACCGTCTGTCATGTACCTTTGCAGGCTTTTTTGCTTGTCGCATCATTTTTTTCCACTCTCGAAGACACTGAGCGTCATTACGGTTTGGAATTTCCGCTGCGATCTTTGCCCAGCGACCTGCCGACCGACCAACCACGTGGCAAACACTCATCAGCACACACAAAATGTCCACATGTTAGCGGCACTGGCTAAAATGCTAATCAAGGTGAGAGCGATGGACACAGACCAGCGCCATGTTTGTCTAGTAGCTGGACGAGGAGTTGGTGCTCATGGTCATCAAAAGGTCCTTTCTTGAGTCCTTCCTTCAGACAGTCCAAATATCTGTAAGACATATGACAAACGCGGCATCAGTCCCATCAGTCCCGTTTGTCCTGTCAATCACATCAGTCACTTCAATATAGTCAGTTAAATCGGTCTGGTCAGTCAATTCGGTCGTGTCAATCTGGTCTATCCCGATCCTGTTCCTCCTCACCGGTCCCTGCAGGCACCGTCCGTGCGTCCTGGAACCTCCAAGCGGATTTTCCACCACATCTTCTCGCCATGGCGTGCAACTGCTTTAAGCAGCAGCTGCGGAGAGGAGCAAGTGAGGGGGGCATATGATTTAGACAAGTGGACTAGACACAGATTTCAGAACCAGTTGATCTCACTCTTCAGCGTACCTGATCCTCCTCTTTGGACCAGGATCCTTTCTTCAGCTGGGGGTCCAGAACTGAAGTCCATCTGTATATCAGCTGAGGCGTGTCTCGACCCTCCATGAAGTAACTGACTGAGTAAGGGAAACAAGAAGAGGTGTGGTCAGGGGCAGGTCGATGCTGCATGGCACCGCGGGTGTTCTTACTCTGCGTGTACGGTATGAAGTTCCCGATCCGCATATTGTCAACCAACTGCGAGAGCTTCTGGTCCTCGGCGGAGGTCCAGGTACCACGCTTTAGAGAGGATGAGATGAACCTCTGGAACGTCTGCAGGCACATGAAGGCAGTGCGGCCCGTCTGATAAAACAACAAAAGTGTGTTACCACACAACCTCACCAAGATCCATCTGCTGTTTTCGGGGGACCTTACCCCCAACTCCCGAGCGATGAGGTCCCAGTTGGTCTCCTTGTGTCTGCTGCTGACCTCCTTGAGACGTTGAACCTCGTCGGCGCTCCAGCGGTTCTTGTTGACGGCGGGATGCAGGAAGTTCTGCCAGAAGAGACGAAGATCGTCCGCCTCGCGAACGCCTTCAAACTGACCCAGACGGTGTTAGCCACATGTTAATAAGTCCAGAGGATGAACTTAGCACTCATAGACAATCTTTGATGGGGGCTCACGTACATCGATCTTGGCGATCTTGTGCCAGTCATGGTCCTCGTACTGATCCCCAAATAGTTCCTCGTCCTTTTTCACTCTGGCCAATCACAGCACACCAGTGTATGAAACTCCCCGCAGAAGAACACTCAAACAGGATGCTAATAAGTAATGACATGCCTCAGACAGAACCACCTCAGTTTTCATATGATTGGGTTTTGGACCACTTCCTTTGTCAGAATTTGTCAGTTTTCATCCAAAAAACACAAATATGTATGACTCGGTTTTATTTGATTATCTTGAACAGATTCATTCCGAAAACCGAGGTCCCACTGCAAACACATATGCAAAGTCGTACTTGATGGATTCAATGTCTTTCTCCAGACTTTCGATGTGGACTTTGAGCTGCCGCTTTTCATCTTCTGATTTGCCCGATGAGGATAACTTCTGACTCAAGTAGTCAACTCTGACAAACATCGAGAAGAAAAAGATGAGTTTGAAACACTGGAATGAAGAGGAGAAGAAGGAGAAAGGGTAGAAGAAGGAGGACGAGGAGACAGAAGGAGAAAGAGAGGAAGAAAGAGAAGGTGAACCTGGACAGCTTGGGCTGGATGAGTCTCTTCAAACTGTCTCTGGACACTGAGTCAATCAGCAACGTCTTCTGCCAACTCTCCCCTGAACACACAAACAAAGGACAATCCAGAAGATGCATAAAGTGTGCGTTGATGGTAGACCGGAGTCCTCACATCGTTTGACTTTCATCTTGCTGCTGTCGAGGCAACCCTTCATCTTCATCATTCTCTCTTTTGTGTCCGAATTGGCAGGAGGACCCTTCAGGCGGACAGAGCGGCGTTGTGATCAGTGGAAATGTCACATGACTGAAAGGTCAAGTGATGATTAGGTGAAGACCTCACCAGGCCGGTGACTTTGTCTTTGAAGTACGGCTTCAAGAAGTGACCCAGGAATAAGGGGGCCTGCTTTGGGTACGACGAGGAGGCGGGCTCTTCTTTGGATGCTTCTCTGAATGGCCCAGACAGCTGAGACAGTACCTCCTTCTACACACGCACACACCCGGACTTGTACAATGACGGCTGTGTTCGTGTGTATTTCTCTCGATCTATGACGTGTGTGATTACATGTGAGTGTGGATGTGTCCGAGTGTGCGTGTCTGTTTGTGCCTTAGTGACCTGTTGTCGCTGGTTGTGTGACAACAGAGTTTCCAGCTGTTTGAGCTTCTCTTGAAGGATCTGCTGGTACACAAAGTTCATCTGAAGACACGAGTCCACGTTGATGGACAGACCCAGCTGATGTCAACACACATACACACAGGTGTTAACGAGTTAACATGTTGTTGAGCAGTCACATGTTAATAACCGTTTCACGGCCCACCGACCTCACTTTCACTGCTGCTGCCGCTGCTGTCATCATCATCTAAAAAACACACACGGTGATGACAGTGAGTTGCGCAAGCTCACCTGACAGGACATGGAAGCAGTGGGTACCTGACGCAATGGTGGAGCTGTGTGGTCCCAGAACGTTCTCGAGATTCTGGATCTCCTTCTCGATCTTTTGCCTCTCAGCCAGCAAACCTGCAGTTGACTGAATGGACGCACACGCATGCACACACGCCATCTACTTTTTAATCAGAGTAGCTTGTATTTTAGGGCTTATATGAAGATATTCACTGTAGAGGTGATTTGAGAGAAAACCAAAGCTTAAAAAAAAAACAAAAAAACAACAACAATGTCAATTGTTCAATTGATTGTCGTCACTTTTGATCAGAGTCTTGACACGTTGACTAATCTTTGTAGCCGTATTCTGGACTCATTCTGAAAACAAGCTCACGTTTCTGCTCGGTTGGAGTTTTCTGACTGATTCGTTTATGCAGTTCAATGTTGCAGTTGTGGTTTGAGATACAAATGACCCAACTTATGAGTTCTTCAAGATACAAGCCGCTATTTGGTCATTTAAATTTTTCTTTTATTTTTTTTGCTTTAGCTTGCAAGCGCAGACACGAGATACGAGCCGTGCACGGTGGTGGCAGTGGACTCAATTCATATTTCAACAAGCAGAAGTTTGACATATTGAATTGATAAACAATGGGCAAAAAAAAGAGACTTTCAAGCTTTTTATTGACCCTCCGAGTTGAAGTTTCCTCTAAAGCTAAATATAAAACAAAGACAATTACATCTTGTGTAATTAAAGCAAACATATAGTGTAGGCTAGAGTGTGCTAACGTAATACTAATGCTAACACATAATGGGAAACTTAGATTTGAACAATGACTGTGCAGCAACATGTGACTGTACACAGTCAAGGCCCCACTGGATCGGATAGTCTAGCCTAGGATGGCCTTGTCTAATCTTGTGTAAAATTTGGTGAGTTTTCAGGAACGGTGTAACCAACATGAAAACCAGAGATGATGATGATGATGATGATGAGTTTCACCATGTGGAAAAATCGGGGTGCATGCATGCATGTATGTGTGCGTGTACACCTGGGCGTCTTACCTGTTCTGCCTCCTGGTCTGTGTCCACACTGGATTCGTCATCTAATCGAGAGACAAGACGTTAACATCACCAGCTGGTGGTATGTTTGTAGGCGTCATCAAACATGAAGTCAGACACACACACTTCCTGTTTGTAATTTAGCTCATCTCCAATGGGAAGAAACACACAAAGCCAATCAAAAGCGTCAAAAGTGAAAAGATAACCTGTGTCATCGCTGCTGACTTGTTGTAGTTCACTGTTGCTGACACACAAACGTCTTTCTAAAAGTTCCACTTGCTGCTGGATCCTCTCTCTCTGCTCGCACAATGACATGACTATGCACACACACAGGCACACACACGCAAACACACACACACACGCACACACACACACACACACACACACAAAAACATAATATTAGCATAAAATAATACAGATACTACAGATCCTGTACACTACACTACATGTGACTACAAAATAAGCGTGTAACCTTACATCCATTTAATCGATGTATCGATGTGTCTTACCCGTGATCTAGCGACATCAATAGCTGCACATCAACACATCGCTTTTATAAGTTATTGATTGGTTGAATCAATATACTGTACAGTAATTAAACGGACTTTATACTCAAAATTCCCAAAGGCCTTTCATTTTAAATCAAGTGTGAATGTTATTTTTAATCAATTTAGATTCGTTTTTCGCTCGTACACGTCATCTCTGGTCGACCATGGAGATTATGTCATACGCAACATAAAGAATAGATAATAATAGATCAACGTAGATCATCCCCACCAACCAATCTGCAGAAGCGCAGACCATGTGCGGCCCTAACCCTGACCCGTGATCTGTACAGATCACGGATTTATGATGATCTGTTGAACTACTACAACCGACGGTTAATTAAGACATACATTCGATGAACTACGAGTGACATAGACACACATGAATGATGATGTTTAATGTCCTTATTATGGCAAAAGTTCACAATTGAATGGTGCAATGTGAGAAGTATAATGAAGACGCCAGAGCCGCTCTGTGGCTGATCTCAAATTACTGAAAAGCAAACAAGTTTTTTTTCTTTACAATAATGGTTGACAGTTCGTTGAAATTGCATGAAAAGTTACTATAAAATGGACATGGACATAGTCAAAGCCATTAATAGTGTTGCAAAATTTATTATAGAATATAGTTTTTTTTTTAAAGAAACTGGTCTACTTAGTTTGCCAGGTGCCGTGTGATGCAGTACCGTTACAAGTACAAACACGCACACCACAAGCACGCGCGCGCTCACACGCCCTCACTCTCTCTCACACACACATGCACACACACACGCACACACAAGATCAAAGCGATGTGGGAAAGTGGTAACGTTCCAGAAATCAGGACGAATACGTGAAAAATATAATATGAGCAGCATGGACTACACGCGCACAGACACACAATAGTTCATTACAGTATACAAAAACACTTAATTTTCCTACGATATTATCTAGACACACAGAAGAGTTCATTACAGTATACAAAAACACTTAAATTTCACATAGTATTGTCTATTTACACTGCAAGAGAGTACAGGATTATTGTATTGGCTTTATCTATGACGTACCTTTATGTGCAGTGCAGTTTGTACTAATTTTGACGTCGTTCAATCAACGTTGTGCGGGTTTAGTAGTTTAGCATATTTCCCAGCAGGCTTTGCGTCAAAACAACACAAACGACCCCACAACATGGCGACTCGGCGCCGCGTCAAAATCACCGCGCCCCGAGAACTTTTACGATGTCAAACAATTTCCAAAAATGTACAAGAAGATCCGAAAAACGTCATACAGAACAAAAACAACAGTGATTTCCTTCGCTTCTCTTCGAATGACTTCCTTATTCATCACCTCCGGTAGTAAACCGTTTACTTCCGGGTGTGTTTCTCCGGTCTTTATTTATTATTATTATTATTATTATTATTATTAATTTAGGATGCGTTTGAGAAAATCTTACGATTCTATGATTATACAAAAATAATAAAAATGAAGATATTATTTTCATGGAGAAAAACCTGTCACTGGAAGAAACGTGGGAGGAAAAAAATGACATGACGTCATGAAGGCGGACCGTCCATGCATGTTCTGGAAGCGCTTATCTTCGTTTATGTTGTGGTTTAAAGTAGGACCAAATGTGTGAATGTGAGTTGGAATGCTTGTTTGTCTATGTTCCTAGACATTGATTGGGGACCAGTTCATTATTTGGAAAGAAAAGATGTGAATGAATACTTTGGAATGTCTTAAACTTCTGCATTTTGGTCATAAAATGTGGTATGATCAGCTAAAAAGCACAAATTCACGATTGGAAACTAACAGAGTCTGCTCAAAATAATACCACAGATGTTTTAATTTTTTTTTTTCATGGGAATGAACATGTAAACACTGATTTGGTGGAAAAAGTAAGTGAACCCTTCAAATTAAGATGCTGTGGCATAATCTCAAGAGAGCTATTCACACCAGACATTACAAAACTCTTGTAAACAATCCAAGTTTTGTAAATTTGTAATTTTACATTTTTGCTTAATTTAGAGTAAGTTAAGCAAAAACTGGAAAATTACCCCAAATTTGTAAATTTTTCGCCAATTTTAGGAAGGATGTTAGAACATCATTATTTGTATTCAATGTCCACAAGAATAAATAACAATAATTGAACAAAAATAATTGGCCTTTTTTTGCATCTGCTGATTTTTGACTATTTTAAAAGAGGTGATATCAGCCGGACAAATAGGTCAGTGCCTAATAATAGCAATATTAATAAATTAATTTGAACAAATTTCTCATTTCATAAGTGTGTGTCAAACTGGTAGTCCTTTGCATATATCAGTTCCCAAGAAGTAACTCACAGCTTCAAAAAGGTTCGTGACTCCTACACTATAAAAATATGAAATTGATTTTTTTTTGTGTGGTTAAAGCAGAATCTGGATGTTTACTCATCTTTATTCTTATGAAGTTGTCTCCCACTTTATGTACCCTTAACTGGTGACCAGTCCATAATTCCAGTCTAAAGTTTGGAATCAAACAATTCATTTTTTTTCTTGATTTAAATATTTCCTGAATTGTAGATTAATACTGAAGTCATCAATATTGTGAAGAAATATTGACGCCATTATTAAAAACAAAAACAAAAAAAACCCTTTTATTTATAATTTTGATTCTTCAAAGTGGGCATCTTGTGCCCACATAACAGCTTTGCTCATCTTGGTATTTTTTTTAAGATAAGATATCCTTTATTGGTCCCACACTGGGGAAATTTACAGTCTACAGCAGCATATTTTCTGAGTTGGCTTTATGATGTGGGATGCTTTATGACCTGGAATGACTTTCAGATCACAGCTGGGCACTATCAAGATTGAGTATATTGAATTTCTTGATCTTTTAAATGTGTTTGAGACCATTTCAATTTGAAGGCGTTTCCAAACTTTTGACCGGTACTGCATGTACCCTGCAATTTGTTGGCGACCAGTCCATCTAGAAAACATATAGATGAATAAATAAAGGACAAAGTGAGTAAAAAATAAACTTGAACTTTATTGTTTGTTAAAAGTGACGAGATGTGACGACTTCGGAAGCACTGTCCATTCACAAGGCCTGATATCACTGAATGGAGGAGTCTAGCGGCGTCGATACAAGATGTCCCAGGAGCTCCTCCACTTGAGCGCTCGCAGCTGATTGGCCGACAGCTCTGGGCTCCCAAAGGTCAAAGGGCTGAAGGCGTGGTAGGACAGGAAGACACACGCCAACACGACAAAAACACACACCAGCAGCACACGGCGGTGTGCGTCCTTCCTGAAAACACACACACACACACACACACACACACACACACACACACACACACACACACACCTGACTCTTCTTATTCTGCATGGTGAAACTTTGATGCATTGCGGTTTGTTTCGAGCATGGATACAACAATGATGCTAATGCTAAGCTACAGCATGTGTGTGCATGTGTATGTGTGGAGTGAGTAAGACGTGCGTATTTGAGTCTGTATATGTAACTGTGTCTGTATAGTGAGTGTGTGTGAGTCTTTAATAAGTCTTTGTCTGTTTGTGTTTGTGCACAATGTGTCTGTGTGTGTGCAAGTGTTTGCGTATGTGTGCATATGTACCTGAGCAAGTGTGTGTACACATGCTCCAGCAGGGCGGCGCTGAGCAGGTGCAGAAAGATGAGTGCAGGCAGGTAGTGGTACAGGAACAGATGTTTTTCCATCAACACGAACGGAACAAAGTTCAACAACCAGCCGCCGCCGCACAATACGCCCAGCGATACGAAGCGCTCCCAAGCAGCTACACACACCACACACATTTAAACGAGGTGCACGGGTTGTTTGTTGGTTGATGTGTGTGTGTGCGTGTGTGTGTGTGTGTGCATGTCTACCATCTGGTAAATCTTTGATGCCCCGCCTCCTCCTCAGCAGGTAGATGGCTGCCATGACGTGATAGCCCAGGAGGGAGAGGTGAGACACACCCCATGATGCTGGATTACCAATCAGATGGATCTGAGCCTGCCACAACACATGCAGATTATGATCTGTCACTCAACGACTCAGACTCACTCCTTCATTTACCGTACTAACGGTACATTAATAATCTCTCAAACACACAAATTATAATCTCACACACACAGGTTACAATTTTTCTCAACAACACAAAAACGTGCGCGCGCACACACACACACACACACACGCGCACACACACACACACACACACACACACACACACACACACACACACACACACACACACAAAACCAACAACATTGTGCTTCCGCATGTGTGCGCATCTCACGTTGGTGGAAGGGTGGAGCCAGTAGGCGATGTTTGTTTCCATGGTGAGCCACTCCAAAGGGGTGGAGCTATATTTGTGCTCATTGTCTTCCTGTTTCACTGACAGCATCCTCCACTGGTGGTGACATCACAGCATGACATCCCCTTCGACGACGATGTCATGTTGCGACATCACCTGCGGTGACAATGACGCACCTGAACCTCCAGAAACTTCGACAACAGGGAAATCTTCCGGTTCACGTCAATGTGTGTGGGGGAATGAAGCTCCGCCTCTCTGTCCTTCTGCTCCTCGCCTGCAGACACAGGGTCATTCGATGCCAAATCATCCATTGGGTCAATTTTAATGAAACTTGCTGTACTTGTAAATAGTGATGGCACAATGATATATCTAAAACATTAGGTCAATCGTAGCACCAAAATGTAATATGTTCAGCAAAAAGGGGAGTGGCCGCCTTCCTTTGAACCCTTATATCTCAGGAATCGCCGTCAATCTTCACAAAACAGGTATTGTTAGAAAGGGAATTCAAGGATTCCAAATCTGATTGGCACGGACGATCTGATTCGAGTAATTTTACATTTTGATCTATAATTTAACCTTGAAATTAACCTTGTGGATCACGTGACATTAACAGTGTTTTTAAATGCAATCTCTTGCGTCTTCTCTAAAACATAAAAATTTCAGAGACGCTCTTTTTTTTTTTTATTATTTTGCAGAAATTAGGAGTCAAAGTATCCATCCCCTCAGATTTGCAATGCATATTCAATGAAAATTGAATGCATATTCAACTTCAATGAATTTGTAATGAATATTCAACATTCAATGAATACTTACTTCCAATGAATATTCAACGAATGCAGCTTTGTGCATACACATCAGCGTCAGGGACATTAAATTTCAACGCAAAAGGGTGTAGAGTGACGCAGGCTGCCCTCTGCCACTGTTACCTAAGAAGTTGACATACTGACCAGTGAAGTGTTTGTGTGTCTAAAAGAGTGTGGGAGTTGAGTAGGCATACTGGTCCCATATCTGTGCTCCTCCACTGTCCATGTCACGCCACTGCTGTGACCTTTGATCTTCTCTGCGACAACCTCCATCTGACCTGACGCCCAGTCTGGAAGCGATAAGCCACTCAACTAGCACGCGCGCACACACACACACACACACACACACACACACACACACACACACGCACACACACACACACACACACACACACACACGGCTTTGTGTGAATCAGGAGGAAATGGGAGTGTTGTGTGTGAGGCGGTGTCCTGTTATTTACCTTGAGGACTGCTGACGTGTTGACATGAACCAAGCGAACCTCTGACAAAATCGTCTTCCACACCTCGGAATCATCCTCACGGTTCACAACGTCCTCAAACACATCGAAATATCAATGTTGTGATCAATATCGACATCACTGTCATCTGCGTAAATCTATATTCAAGATTGATTTTTGCACATCATATTTAGTTCAATCACACATGCTGTGCAAATTGCCTTTTGCACTGCCTTGCCCGCTGACATCTGGATTTTGGCTTGTTTTACTGACGCTTCTCTCTAAGCAGCAAGGTCATCTTGCATTTGTGTTGACAGAAGTGTAAAAGCAAATCAATTCAACTAACGCTAGGAGCTTCATTGATGTAAACAATGCATCCGGCATATGCAGAATGTCACGTGACCAAACCTGCAAAACAAATTACGGGGACTTTTTGTGTACTCGCACTGGAAGTCTGTGTTCCCTCATCGTGTTGATGGAAGCCAACAACTTTGGCTTTTCACTACATTTCTTTTCGATTTAAAAGGGCTTACATTAACTAAAATCCCGTGTCGCATTATGGCCAAAGGCAGAATCCTGCCAAATTATGGTGCCTTTTGGTGCTGTAAATAGTAAATTGTTGCTCTGGATGATGATGCATGTTAAAGAGGTGGCGGTAATGCACCAAGAGTATTAACCAAACAGAAAGGAGAAGAAGAAATGGAAGAAGTACGGTTTTGTGTTACACTGAAGTTCTAGCAGTCATTTGGGAATCATAAATGTTCTGTAAACACTGTATTCTGATTAATGCAAAATAAGAAGTAAGGTTAGTGGGGCTGCCATTTTGGCCTTGCACTGCCATTTTGGCCTTGCACTGCCCTTACAAACTAAATACATGGCGGCGGGTTCAATGTCTTCTTGTTTTATGTTTTATGGTTAGTTTGTTTAAATTTTTGATGGGGAAAAAAAGATTAAAAAAAAAACTTTGTCCGACCTACCAACTCTATGCTGAAATTTCATGTTACCGGAAACACACTATCTTTTTTGTTTGGCCTTACAGTTTCCCTTGGAGGGCCGCGATTACTGAAAATATATAAAGAAGTCAAGAATAACGGTTTATTCACCTATTGTTTAAGTTACCTGAATAAGGGATTTCATAAAAAGAAAATGATTCCAGCCACTCTTATTTATTACAAAGGAGAATTTAAAATTTTGATAGAGATTTTAGTAAGCATCATGAAAGTTGACATTTGATTTGCTTTCGCGAGCCACATAAAATGATGTGGCGTGCCAGATCTGGCCCCCTGGCCTTGAGTTTGAGACCTGCGCCCTAGGAAGACCAAACTAATATAAAAAACAGGTGAGCTGTGATGTTCACATTGCAAACCCAATTAGTTCCTGTGAGATGACTTACCACTCTCCAAAGGTTTTGGGCGGGCATGGACACGTTGAAGTCGATGTAGCCCGACA